TTTAGGGTCTTTTCACCCAAAAAACATTCATTTTGATTTTCTATGGCAATAATTAGAAGTTTGCATAAGACAGCCATCATAACAACTTAGACCAAAGGCTGATCTGATTCATAACAATTGTTTGTTCACAGAAACATTCTTGCTTTAACATAATGTGGATAAAGATGCTGAATAAAAACCCACTCCCTGGTCTACATATCATAACTCTTCATAATTTGTGTTCAGACATTTGAACAGCTAGTAAAAAGTAATACATAAATCACACTTTACACAATAAGTTAACCATTTCCTGGCAGTTATAATACCTCCCCTTTCTTGTTTTTGCTCTTGTTCAACTCCATGATGTCCTTGTAAATGTCAGTAAAAAAAACTGTCAAACAGGCAAGGCTGTCATGAACAGGTGATGTTTCATCAAACATGGAACAAAATAGTGAAATATATAAAATGCACACTTCAGATCTGCTGAAGTGACTGTTTGTATTTATCTTTAGTTACTAGTTTTATATATTAAAAAGTTTCAGTGTGTTATCCCTACATTTACCACATGGAAAATGAGTTATCAACATTTGAAATATATTTTCAATTACCCCCACCTTATCTACAAGCTATCAGATGACAGTTCTGGGTTATTCAGTTATACAACCAAGTTGTATAAGCTGTACTTTTAGATTACATATATATCCCTTTTATTTATTTTTAAACAGCCTGTGTTACTACTGAACCACCTACACCAGACTTTTGTGAAATATCACAGTAGTCTTGATATCCTAAATAATTTTTGGGAGAAAGAACGGCCTAAAAAGGGGAATTTAGAATCAAAATAAACACATCAAGATTGTATCCTTCAACTTTAGCTCTAGAAATTGACCTTAACTACTACGCATTGCATGTTTGAGAAAAGGGGCTTTGAATAGATTCTTTGTATATAATCACTATACCTCGAGCCAATGGTAAAAGCTAACAGTTCAATGAAGGCAAGTGAATAAATAATAAACCAAGTGATTTTAATGATAACTTACTTTGACAAGACAAGACTAAAAATTCCTAGTAGTCTGCTTGTCTAGTTCTGTGATTACCTTTTACAATTTGACACCTGTGTACGACTACAGACCACAGTTCCAGAAACTTCTTATATGTACAATGGAGGGTGGAGTCACTATATTACCTTTTTGAATAAACACGGTTGCATAAAGGGTATGCATACTTACATTTATAAAATGTTTGGTTGCTTACTCCGCTGGTTATTCATATTGAAACAGACAAGTATCACAAAGATAAACACAAAACCTTATTTCTCTAGTCTACCTATGGATATACACACCGGACAGTTTGTGAATTGTATTCCACTGACAGTGTGTCTGAAGTCAAACTCAACTGTTGCATCGATTCGCGCAACCGTTCGATATAAGATCTTCGTCACATTTAGTAGAAACTTTTCAAAGTTGAAAGTAAGCAAACCCAAAGCATTTAGAATGAGGAGTATTAATACTCGTGAGATACAAGTACCACTTTTTCTACAACCTATCCTGGACGTTCATCAGACACGATATTTTGGCAGTATAAAATAAGAGGAAAACGCCCCGGTGCTTCACCGTGTCACTTCAATTCGATGAAATTAAAAATCATATGATGTAACTTAACCTGTTTACTAAAGAAATGTATTTAACACAGTTTTAGCACACTAATCTTAAAGTAGTATTTTTTGCAACTTGGGAATTACCTTGTTTTGATGCATTTTTTCGAGTCATCTTCTTGACACTGTTGACCGGATACTTCTGTTAAACGGGTTTTACCGGACATGGCCGAATAGAGCCGAACACAATGAGCTTGTCAAAATACAGTGGCGCAACTGATGCAATTTTTCCTTAACAGACCTTTGTCCAAAAGGAGAGGAGAGACTGAGAGGGAGATACAGAGACAGAGAGAAATCTATTAATAGACTCAGAGGAGTCTACATAAAGACAAATAGTTCAACTTTGCTGCAAACCAGATATCCCTTAGGTCGTAGGCTGAGAAAATATAAAATATGAATATAATTTCTTTTAGATTGACTTACATGTAGATAGTTGATGGTAAGTTCAAATGAGCTTGTCAAAATACAGTGGCGCAACTGATGCAATTTTTCCTTAACAGACCTTTGTCCAAAAGGAGAGGGGAGACTGAGAGGGAGATACAGAGACAGAGAGAAATCTATTAATAGACTCAGAGGAGTCTACATAAAGACAAATAGTTCAACTTTGCTGCAAACCAGATATCCCTTAGGTCGTAGGCTGAGAAAATATAAAATATAAATATAATTTCTTTTAGATTGACTTACATGTAGATAGTTGATGGTAAGTTCAAATGAGAAGCTAGTTTAAATTCTTATAAGTACTGTATAATTTGAACAAAGATATTTAGATCTATATATTTTTTCAGGTTTAATTTTATCCTTGCCATGAAACCATCACAGAAACTTGCACTTCCTCCGAAATGGACACACAATACATTTGTTCTCGAATTTCTTTTTTTTTAACTGATGCAGTTTTAAAACTTTTAAAAACATTATATTAGGTGCTTAATGAGGGTAGGGAATACCCCCCCCCCCCCCCACACACACACACACACACTCTTCATCACCAATCACCAAGATTAAAACAGCTCAATCATAAATCACCAAGATATATTCAGGCCAATCATCAATAACCAAAAATTCCTGAATCACGTTTCACGCAGAATATTGGGCTCAAATAACTCATCACGCTTGAAAAATAAGGCCAATCACACGGAACGCAAAAGGTATTCCCTGTCCTCCTTTATCACAAAACTAACTTACTATGTTCATCTTAATTTTAAAAAAAAAACACAGCTCTGTGTCCTTGAATTATCTTGTCGATGTTTTACCTAAAAAGTGTGATAATATCAACTTTTGCGTTGCAAAAAGTGAAAAATGATGTTAAAGATATAGTCACAAATTCTACTTTTTTAAAGTCTCTGATGATAGAAAGTGATAAATCTAGAATTTTTTTATAAATCATTGAAAATTTTTCATTCATGCCTTGCTAGTATGAGGACGAAGTAACGAAGGTTTAGACTATTTTGGTAACAAATTTTAAAGTAACAACCATTTTGGAAATTGCACGTCACTTATACTTACAAAAATTAGATTGCACTAAGGGGGTATTACGAAATGCATATTTATTTTACTGACACATTTTGACCTCAACCTCAAGTATATATTTTTTACAATACCTGGTAATGAAGGCTTTGCAAACTACTTTCTATGATAATCCTGTTTTATCGTGTTTCGTCTGACACATTTGACTGTGTCCTGTCACCATATTACAGGGTATCTTGCTAATAATGGAAATAAATGAACTAAATTGAAGATTTTATTAATGACTAAAATATTACAAGAAAAAAATCAAGACGTAACGAAGGTTTTTTTTAAATAAACATTCAAGACATTTTCTGAGATGTTGAACAAACCAAAGGGCCCCGAAAAAATGACATTTTAGAGGGCGAACGGTGCCATTTGGTACGGTTTAGAACTATGATTCAGCTAGTTAAAATTCTAATTTCAAGAGGGGACCATATTTAGTATGATCTTTTTCAGAAATCGAAGGGGAGGGGGTCAGGACCCCCCTGACTCCCCCCCGCCCTAAATCCGCCACTGTTTAATTACATCTGCGCACACAAGTAAACACCGAACTGCTTGCAGTGTGGATACAACAATTAATGTAGATTTGTGGATCAAATGATGCCTAGGAGGTGATTATTGAATCCAGATATTTTGCTGTAAGCGTCACACTCAGAGGTACATAATATAGGTTGTTCTTAACATAAACTACCGGGGGTTGGGGCATAACTAATTAAATAATAAAGAAATATACTGCAGCGAGGCTACATGTACCGGTAGATAAAAATTATGAAAAATAAGACGACAAACTTACTTCGTGTCACACTTCTTCTAGTCCCCGGTCAACTGGCCCCCGATTTAATTGATTTGTATGCAGTTATCTGAGTTATCTAGTGAGATCCCAAACGTGTGACGAAGCCTTGATACGGACATGCAAATACTCCGGCGTGATAACGTTGCCAAAAACATGGACTTTCATCTCCATGTAATATCCATTTAATATCATCATCTACTGACAATCTTGTGTCAACTCTACAAACTTTGCTCTGTTGCACTTAACTAAACTATGCACAGCGTGTTACAGGGTAAGATTTATTTTCAGGACAAAATTTTAAGCTCTATTTTAATCTTACATAATGAAGAATAATAATGATAAAAAATGGATAACGTTCATGGGCATTAAACTTTCTACATTTAGCCCTAATTGGCTCGGATCTAGGATTATTTAAAGGGGGTTCCGTGGATGCGAAAAGCGGGCCCTGAAAAAATTTGGTATTTTAGAGGGCGAATGGTGCCATTGGGTACAGTTTAAAACTATGATTCACCTAGTCAAAATTCTAATTTCAAGAGGGGACCAGAAATTGAAGGGGAGGTCAAGACCCCCTTGACCCCGTCTCTAATTCCGCTGCTGCACCTTGCACGTATTCAAGATATGCAAATAAACTTTCTTACCGAGAAAATTATTATGGTATGCATATATTTATAGTAACTGATTTTTTTCTTCGCTTTACATGTTCACTAACTTCGTTTAAGTTATTTGTAATGCATATGTTATTTTTATACATTCTCCCCTGCAAAAATCCTTTCCAGGCTCCCGAATAAGGCCGTTTGTTTTGTAGATATTATTTTGAGAAGTACGCGTCTATGTGTTTAATCGACATACCGTCTGGAGACATTTTAACAAACACTTTATGCATGTATGCAGTTTTTTTTTATCAGAGTCAGACATGAGTAAAAGTGCATGGAACAGCGCCGTCTTATTCGCCGCCCCTTTCCTTTATGCTTAGCGTCTGTAAATTCGTCACTGCCATTGTATTAGTTGCGACGGCCTGCTGCATTTTTGGTTGTGATTGTGTTGCCTCTGTATATGTGTACTCCAAATACTAAAGAACTAAAGAAGCCGAGATAGAACTGATGGAAATGAAATACAAGTGCAGTGGGAAAGTATCAGAAAATGATGTTTATTTCGATAAACACAAAGAGCAGTGCTTAAAAGCAACAGATCTGAGCAGAAAAGGAAGTATAGATGCACCTATAAAAGAACTGGTACAGCATATCAACAACTGTAAACAGTATTTTACTACCAGCTCTTGTTCTGGAAGAACAATATTGTTTCAGAAGGTATAATAATAGTAATTAGGGAACTTTACTTATATATAGCGTATCAGGGACAGTGACAAGGCTGAAGTTCTTCTGGGACAGTGACAACTACGTTGAACAGCTTAATTCATATACAATTTAAATATGTTAGAGATAATCTTTACATTGATAAATTGACAATTAACAGTACCTGGCTGAGCGATTCACTTAATTTATACATGAACATATATGTATATAGTTTCATGTTAACATTTTTGTTTTCATTGTACAAGGCGTCAGAATTTGAAAAACAGGGATGCAAGTGGCTTTATGTTAGTCATGAACCAGCAACTGTAGAACCTGTGGTGAGACAGTATAGCTTCAGTTATTTTAAAGGCATGCATTGTAATACAGTTTAGCATGAAATAGTAAATTGATAACTGAGATCTTAGTTTCACATCATATTTTACCTCATAATGCCAAGGTTGCAAATCTTTTATTTCTAGTACAGTCATGTTTCACATAGTGTTGCTTGAAATAAAATTATATAATTCATGGTAACAGTTTTAAAAAAATCTTCTTGATAAATGCATAAATGTCAAGTGATCTGTATAATTTTTATAGAGGCTAAGAGTTGTTGTTTTTTTTTAGGTGCTGAAACTGACAAACTTACAGGATGATGTTTACTTCAAATTTGAGCCCTTTGTTCTACATGTGCAGTGTCGGACCTTAACTGATGCCACCAAACTGGTTAGTATGTGTTGAACATCAGAAGTTAAAGAGGGAACTATTGTCTAGTTAGCTTTTACATGCTTGTGACGTTGATTAGATGTTTTTGTTTCTAGTGATACATTTTGATTTCATTTTTCAATTTCGAATATCTGAATTTGTGGTCAGTTATTCAAAAATGTAACTGCTGTATGAGTACTGAAACAGAACAATCTATACAGTCTGTTTATTTGTTATAAGAGCTTGAAAGTGAGATAACCTACCATAAAACATTGGACTGAAAATTTACTTGACTTGAGGCAGGAGTTGGGAAAACAGGAACCTCTATATCCATGTTATTTAAAATAATTTTCACGTCAAACAGATATTCTGGATGAATTGAAAAATTTATTCTGTCATTTTTCTCCCCCCACCTCCTCCCCTCCTTATCAGATTCCCACCTCCCATCCTGCTAAGCCTCTACCCTCCCTCCATATTTAGGATCTCCCAGTGCAGTATACAGTCCAAGCATCTGACAAAAAATCACAGGCATTTTTTTTCTTTCTAGCATGCTGTTGCAGTAGCCTCTGGCTTCAGGAACTCTGGGATATCTATAGGAAGAAAAGGCAAAATAATAATGGTAATAAACAAGTAGTTACTTTAATAAATTTAAAAGGCATCAGTGTCTGTAAACTATGTAAACTTAGCCAATTTTAATGACCATCCACATATCAATCATTGAGTGGAAGGCCTTGTTATAAAGTAACAATGTAGCAGTCACATTAATATGAAATTTTAAATACATATTAGTCCATTGTCAAATGGTTGACCTAGAATACAGAAACTGTAGCCTTTATCTTCAGTTTCACAAAATACTTTAAGTCAGGCTACTATACACACTGATTATCTTTTAGGCTGTAAGAAGCACTCATTCCATGGAGGTTCCCATTGCCCTTGGGGGACAATTATTGGTAACAGAAAAGGTAAGAGACTTAATTGATTCAGAAGAAAAGTTTTCCATTTTATCTGGTAAATATAGCATTCATAATATATTATTTTGTATGGTATGCTGTATTGTTTGATTAATTTTATCAATAAAAGTGATTTTGGATTATATTTGGTATTGTCATTTTATAGAAAAACATACTAGTAAATTAAATGTCAGTACTCTCTCTTTGATTCAAGTATATTGGTGAATTGGTGACTTTAGCAAACAAGAGGATGGCAGAGAACCAAAGGAGAATAGAAAGGTATGAGCTATTGTCAATAATTACTATATGTAAACAGAAAATGTTTAAGTAATGATACAGCAATTATAAGAAAATGTTGTATACATTCATACATGCATATGTGGAAGGAGTATTTAATCCAATCATTAGTAAAATTAAAATAGAAGAATAATTAATACCTTGCCTATGATTGTGCACCCATTAGACAGTTGTGATTTTTTTTCCTAATTTATCTGTATCACAGAACTTCAAGAAACATTTTGTGGACATAAATTTACAGGTTTTTTGAAACTGTGAAGAGTATGGATTCCATGAAGCTATCAGGCAGAGAGGATGGGTGTGTGTCTGGAAATGGAGCGGAGATGAATAGGGAGAAAGAAAAGAGAAGGGAGGAACAAGCCACTCTAACTAAAACAGACAATAGTGACTCTGTCAGTCCTTTTTTGCCTGAGGATGAGGAATACAATATTTCTTTATGGGATGAGCAGCCACCATAGCAATTCAGAAAGTGATAAATATGTTTATAGCTTTGTTAAAAAAAATACACCATACGAGAAAGTAATAACTTCTTATTTTTAAAACTTGAACATATTTTTGTGACTGAGAAGAATTTCATCAGCCATGTAATGATATAAGAGTAAAGTGATTTTTCTTCAATCAACAATTAATATTGAAATTGTTCACCTCATATATATTGCCTGATGAAGGTGCTCTAGACAGACATCGAAATATTGGAAATGAATGATTTCAATATTTGCTGTTGATTGAAGAAAGGCACTTTATTTTATGATCTTTTTCATAAATTTCATCTCTGGTCTGTTGCACAATAAGTCTCAAGTCAGATTTTGGTGTAATAAGACTTAGCCAACTAAATTACATTTTGCAAAAAAAATATCTGAAAGGCCACTTACCTCATTTTTCAAACTAAATTACATTTTACAAAAAATCTGAAAGGCCACCTACCTCATTTTTGAGCGATTTAATTAAGCCCCTTGGGCAAACTGTGAATGTCCTCTCTTTTACTCTTAAATGGTTACAGTAGCCCATTATTGATCAAGGTATGTCAGATATATTTAATTTGGGCCAAAGAATTCTTAAAAGCTGTAGCCTGACACCAGAAAGTACACTTCTTGAAGTTAGCTATCCAGATTTTGCAGTCGAAGATTAGCCAAAATAGTTGATACTTTCTGTGAATGAGGCTTTTGCTGTCAGCAGTCTTCTTAAAAATATGAGTCAGTGTTTGATAGTGTGGTGTCTGTTACATTCAATAGCTGTTTTTTTAAACAATGTTACTTGCAAAATGTGACTTAATAAATCTTTAAAGATCAAAGAAATAAAGTTCAAATTCATTTAAAACAGAATATATTGGTTGTTAATGAGAATAACTGACAGCAGTCAGCATCCTTCACGATTATTAGTTCTCCATTAGTGCATTTGAATTATAAATCATACATAAATGGTTTATTCAAAAGATGATTTACAATGACAAACATAACAATTTTCATGCCTTACTTTTTTGTGGTGTTCAAACACAAATGTCACATCAATAATGTCATATAAACATACATTCATAAAAATCTGTAAATGTAGGAATCACAGCCATTTAAAATAAAAAAAAAAATTCAATAACAATCACAGACAACTTCTCACCCTAATATTCTCAACCTGAGCAATTATATTTTCTGATAAAATATAAGAAAAATACTTAAAATAACTTTTACTCCTTAGACACAGACAGATTTTGAGTTATATCATAATTTTGTAGATTAGGACGATTTTTATTGAACCTCAAAGTACTAATTATCAAAAATATGTCATAATACGATGTCTATTTTAGCATTACAACTTTGCTCTTAGGTTACTCAAAACAATTGTGTTCATTTTAATACTGCAAAATGGAATGCACTCTTTCAAGACAACCAATTTCCACCTTATTCTGACATGAGGTGACGGCATGGTCACAGTATAGGACCCTTTGAACAAAGGTGAAAAGTTCTAACCCCATCTTGCTATCAGACTTTGTTGTGCTCTTGACTTGGATACTTAACACTATACTTTGTATCCAGGTGGGTGGAAATATCAGTTGTCTCACACCATAGGTGTCCTGGCTTGACCTGGTGGGTTGTCCTGGCTTTGTTTTTATCAGATCTAGCAGGGAGCACATCATTCCATGGGTATTTAGTTACTCTAAATGTTTGCATAATGAGATACAAAGAAGTGGACATTTTCCACACAATTTCCTGTATCTCCATTCTACAAGGCAACATGCCAATCACTGTTCCATACAAATTCAATTCTGAAGATTATTATAAATCCATAAGTTTTTTTAATATTAAAAAAAATACCAGATATCCAATCCCTAACAGCCAATACATAAAGTACTGGAAATACAGTTCAAGTAACATACAAATCTATGTTTGTACAAAACTCTAGGGGAAAAAATTACTCTAGACAAAAATGGTTTCCACACATCCAAGCCCACACATTTCTATTCTATCAGTGAAAACATCAATGGTAACATAGGCATTGAGTTCAGGAGGTGTTTCAATTATTCCCGGAAATGTCACATGATGGATGCCATGTTTGTCAATAGCATATCCACCATCGTGGTCATGTCCACACATGTACATGACAACATTATTGTGACTGTGTAGGATATCAAGGATTTCCTCATAATTCCAACATAGGCACTGGGGGTCTGAACTTTCGACAAATATTGGATTATGACCTGAAAAAAAAATTGTATATTTTTTCTTCAAAAATGTTATGGCATTGTTACAATCAGCATAAATGAATGCTAAAGACACCAAGTGTTTGCACAGAGAGTTTACAGAAACCTCTTATTTAGATAATTAACTTTTAAAAAGTTATAGAAATATAAAAAGCACACCAGTCCACCTTTTCTACTTGGTTGCAAGTACACATGCAAGCATGCTGATGAGTATGCATCTATGGTTGAACTGAAATGCATCTGAGTGGACTTCCCTTTTTTTTTTTCAAAAATAACAGCTTTAACCTTACCACAGACAATCACTTTTTGGTCTTTACTTTCTGCTAGCTGCAATTCTTTTCTCAACCACTGGAGCTGTTTTTCGCCAACACCTCCATTATATTGCACAAATCTCCTTTGACAGCCATGCAGCCCTTCAGGTGAATTCAAATCATTATTTGAGTTATTCTGAAGTAAAATTTCTTTTGCTATCAAGTACTGAGGTGAGTCAACATGCTGTCCTGGTACACCAAAGTCATAGCAGTCGAGGCAAATAATTCGGTACTGACTACATGGTTCAAATGAGTAATACCCAGATGGTTCATTTATATCGTAGCAAGTTCTTCCATCCTGCAAAGTGTCCGAGTTGTTCTGCGGAAGCTTTCTAACACTGTCAAATAAGGCAGACTGTATTAGATCAGAGTGCTGGAAATTATACAGGTCATGGTTGCCAATAATTGGGTAAGTTGGGACAGGAAGGTCCTGAAATATAGCCAGCATTCTGTTTAAAGCTGCCTCACTGTTGTTAGTTCGTTTATTGACGCCATCAATCAAATCACCAAGCTGGAGAACAAATGTAACTGATGGCTGTCTTTTTTTCCACTCAGCCAGAGCATCTTTGAGTAAGTTTTCAGCATTTCTATAAAATCTTATCTTAGTTCGCTGGAAATTATGTCCATCATCTCTGTCTGCATACTGAATATCAGCCAATGCTCCAAATGAAAACAGATGCTTTATTTGGGTTGCCATTGTTATCCTGAAATCAATTCAACATATAAAACTTGTACTGTATACATATAGTCTGTTTTATGCAATGTAATAAGTATAGCTCCTACTTCTTGTGTAACCTGGGGCTGAAAATCAAATTTGGCAACATTTCACTCATTTTTGAAAATATGTCTAGAAAAATTGACAAACGTGGTGTCACTAAAACATCAAAATCGTTTGGTCTTATGGGATATCTTAAGCATTTATTCATACTCAAATATATTCAAATTCCTAACATTATTAGAGAATAACCACGTAAGAGACCTTAATATAAATTAAAGGCTCTAGAACTGAGTAGAAGCGGCGTGTTGGACTAAAATAGTAAAATAAAATTAAATTCGGCTAATTGGTGCACAGCACTTACCTTTACGTTATCAAGGGGCAGTAAATTAGGGGTGAAATGTGAAATTTATATATATATATAACTGGAAGGAAGCATGTGTGGGTGGTCTGAAAGGATTGTCACGTCCGACACATTGTCCTACACGAAACTCTTGTATGCATCATTTCGGCCACCGTGTTCCTAGCGATATTTATATAGATGTCGCTTTTGGCAAGCATTAACAAGACGGTCGCTTCGGCACTTATTTTTTCAATGATCTTTGTAATTTTTGGCATTTTGTAGTACTTAGAAATAAAAAGTGCGCTTTGCTGGTTTTCTGTCAATTTCTTAAGAAAAAAAGGAGGACGGTGACCTAGCTAAACCCCTTTCGATCCTCACGCGGAATGTTCTTGTTTTCACTTTTTTCCTTTTCTTTTTTTTTTTTTTTATTTTTGCGATGTGGTCGATGATAAGTCAAAAACTACTAATTAACGTTAAAATTAAAACCTAAACTTCCTGAGATTTTTGAAAACAGTAAATTGATTTTTTAACGTTAAAGCTTTTTTCTGTCTTCCAGGGATCTAGATAATTTTTGTTTCAACCAACGTCAACCAGTCAGACCAGCAGAAAAGTAGGCCCTACACAGGCGGTATAAATAACCTGCTTACATGCGTAGTCTATACTGCCGGTGTAACGTGACAGAAAGCCCTCCACAGGCAAGCCCCGCCTTTGACTCACTTAGGTCAGACTACAAACTGTATAATACCCTACCATTATAACAAAACGGAGGGCGGACTCTCTGAGACCATTCACAAACCTATCGTACTAACTTTGGATCAATCTATCTCCTAAGGGATTCTCGCTAAATTGGAATTAACTTAAGCGGCTAGATGTCTGTCACGCCTACTGAAGCTGATAAGGGTAATTAACTATCGTTTAGCAGCTTTAGTAGGCGTGTCAGACATCTTAGCCGCTTAAGCTGAAAGCAATTTAGCGAGAAACCCCATGGAGATGGACCGATCCTGTTAGATCGATCTAGGGATGGGAACCCAGTCTTTGTTACATGGACCCCCAGTTTCGTTACACCGGTCTTCGGAAGCTTCCCCAGTAATTTTTCTCAGCCTGTATATGTTGATATCTTGAGAGTAAAGATCCCCAAACATATGTGACGATTTATCGCCAGCCTACAGGTACTACTACTCCCTATTAACGTGTATGTTTTACAACACCGTGCGAACCGTGTATTTTCAAGAAATAATGCGATGTTATAATGAATTTAATTTTAATTATGTATTATTATATATGTAATAATTTTGCTATTATTATTTTGCTATTTATTATTCCCTATATTAGTTTATCCTGCGATTTAGAGGACACTTGAAACGCGCCTTTCTACTACTAGCATGTCTGCCGTTTCCAGAGATAATAGACGAGTTGCTAGTGTCCTTCGAAACTCACGTGCTCCCGTCCAACCGCACAGCTGGACATGCAGGCTTTGATGAATACACGAAACTGATACTGATGCCGACGAAATTGAAATAAAAATAGCGCCAGATATAAGTGTGATATCTATCAAACAGCAATGCCACCCATTTTAAATTCATTCGTTGAAAACGATAACAATGTATAAGGATACCTTCGCTTATTCCTTCTTATCAAAACGACACAATTTAAGGCTGACCCCTGGGTCGTGTATTTTAAGGCCCCTAGCGTTACACCGGACTTGGGAATGTTTGGAAAACGACTTTTGCCTACTCACAGCACCTTCATAGTTTGGGCTTTGACAATTGTTGATATTCAGTCGGTATCAAGTTCACACATCAGTGTCAATGAACTTCTAATGACACTGTAATGAGGACAGTAACCTGTGCGTACTGAGATTACTTTTGCGCACTAGACGCGTTGAATGTAAGACTGCATTCCCATAGATTTAGATCTATCCATCTGGATCGACCTAACTCCCTGGGGGTTCACGCTAAATTGATGTCAGCCGAGCGCACACGGTAGTTTATTACCCCCTTATAGCTTTTAGTAGGCGGGACAGACGCTTAAGCCGGCTAAGCTGACAGTTATCTAGTGAGACTCCCCACAGGGATAGATCGATCTAAAATCTGTGGGAATTGGGTCTAAGTGTTGACTATAAGTGGGTTGTATCTGTAGCTTTTATTTTCAAAATATTGTTGAAGTCGCACTAAAACACATTAAAATATTACCCTGACTTTTATTTATTTATTTATTTTGTTATCTATTACATTCATTTGTCTCTCTTATTTGTCTTAATTTTTCGGTTCTTCTTTGTGTTATTTATCTTTAAACCTTTTATGGGTCGACCTTTCAGAATTATAACTATAGTTCATGTAAGTTTAAACATTTGAACGCCACGTGTGATTTTTGGTATCAAATTATAGGCCTAAGGACAACAAAAAGTTGATTAGGCTAAATAAGATAAAATGCTGAAAATGGGGTGTTTAATTTCGCGCTTAATACATAATGACGAAAATAAATAATATTCACGAGGAAAACAATTATGGAGTGAACCTTAACGGCGATTCACGTTCATCCGGTTGTCCATCTACGCCTTTTTTTCCATGTCTTTTGCCCTAACATCGGGGAAAACTACATGTACTAGGCCCATGACGTTGATTGATAACTTATTGAGTCCAAATTCTTAACTTACACCTGCAGGTTCGATTTTTAGCAGCCTCTTATCGAACAATCTACGAGTATGCAAGCTACTTTGCTGCAACTGAATAGTTTGGCCAGGCGTGGGCTGCTCGAGGTAAATTTGTTTTCGTCCCACACCTGGGCGACTGATGACGTCGGGGAAACCCCTAGATGACGTCATCACGGCGACCTGACCTGATGAATCATCCCGCCCTCACACGACTGAATCTGGCCATCTTGTTGAATACCTGGATGTTGGCGTCTGAACTGTTTGATCATGAAAATGCTGTTTTGATCAGAATATGTTCGCAATTATTATAAACTGAAACACTTTGAATGCTGCAGGAAAAGAATAAGGCAGATTCGAAACAATAGATGTGAATAAATGCCTGACCTCATTAGGACACCAAAATGGCGATGTGCGTGGGAGGAGAACGAAATTTAAACAGCAAGGAAAACATATGATTTTTTCCTGGTTGCAAATGTATCATTAGTTTCATTAACGAAGGTAAGTCTCCAATATCATTTTCATTTAACGCGACTATCTGTATAGCAAGACAACACCGAGAAGTTGTTTTTTTCTGCTTGAATATATGGACTCATCTCGCCCTGTCAAAGGGCAACTGAGGGAGTGAGAGAGTAAGTTTTAACTGCTGCAAATCATTGGCAAACATGAAAAATGCGTGTAAAGGATATATAGCTAACAGTGGCTAATTAGCTGGCGCTTTCACGTGTTGGTGGGTATTCTTTGTGACTGTAGCGCTCTTAAAGCCGGGTCTGTTACTGATGTTGTGCAATCCTGGACTTGGGAGTCTAACGTGTATGCAGCGCAAAAGGCCGTGCGCGGTTCTTCTTTGAAGTTAACGCGATGTTTCTGTTGATTGATTAGGTGTAGTGGTTGTCTTGGATCTGTTGGATGCAGTTTGTTTCATCCCACTGAGCTTTAGATGAAGCCGCTTTGCATATTTCATGACTTGCACAAGTTAAATCTAGAAATACATGTTGACACATGAATATGCTAAAATTTTGCATCCGCACAATTATACTTCAATGTATTTGTGTATGTGTACATTTCTCTGATTCAGTCCATGTTGTACATGTGTCAGTGGAGGTGCTAATCTAGGAGAACACTGTTTTTATCACATTCCATATTTTTATTTATTTTTTCATGTCCTGTCATGCACATTTCATTTTAAGTTATAACTTTGTTGCCAAAAGCCTAATTGTTTTATCAGGTTTTAAGAAATTTGTTTTACTAGTTCATTATTATCATTATCATATATTTAGTTTCATTAATTTGTTAATATTTATTATTATAACTTATTTTGAAAACAATGTTCAAACTTTTCTATTTGCACGATTATAAAGATGGGATCCATTAAACAGAGGTGAATGTGTACTAGTATATTACAAGCTCTGTCATTTCAATATGTAGCATCTTATCATCATACAAAGCTGCAGTTAGTAAAACTGCTGTGAGGTCTGTGGGAAAACAATTAATTGGCATGTACAAGTTGTACAACCATAAGCCATGTGAGGATGTGCTAATTGAAAATGGATGGTTATTTTTAAAGTAATAAGAGAAATATAAAAAAAAAGCTTTACATAACTTTACACTTATGTCAACAAGTATTGTGCTAATAGGTTTGCTAATTAATATAGGAGGTTTTATAACATTGAGAAAAAAAACTGACAGCATTTTTTCTCATCGTACTGGCAGTTAAAAGGGTCTCAAGAAGTAACATTAATGGGTTGCAGTTAAATTTCACATATATCTTCCTGATATTTTCAATGATAACACATTTGAAGATAATATTAGAAAACAAAGTATTGGTCTTAACCTACAGAATTACAATTTACAGATGATATCTATATTGGCAAACTGGCCATCCTGCCACAGTAACTAGGTACTAAGATTCTGCTTTGCCAACCAGTATTTACATGTCATTTTATGAGAATTCTAATGATCTATCTCAACATGCTAAATGCCGTATATAACTTGATGATATATTTTTTTGTATGAGAATTTAGATTGTTTTTACTCTGTCATATTTCCTACTTCCCTCCAAGCCTTTTTGTCTTCCAGTAAACACATTGTTACTATCATTGGATTCAATATTGGAAGAAATGTAAAAAGTATGGTTTGCTTTCACCTTGTTTTGAACCATTTATTATTAGTCGTAGCCTTTGTCAGTTATTGTTCTTGCAAGATAGGACTGATTTCACCTTAACGAGGTCCTGTCAGCACAAACTAAGCAGAGAGTAATGATGATGAGTTTGGTGATGAGGTGTAACACAGACGGTGACAGAAACAATGTGTTTAGAATATATTATTGTATCTTTTTTATGTATAGAATAAGACCCTGTAATGCTGATATAAGAATCCTCTCAACACCTATAACCTTTGCTGCAGATGTGATTAGTGAAATCTTTAAGGATCAGATATGATGTCATTGCCCCACATTTGTAAGTTTTTGATTTCTTTCCCTGTGTCACAGGTATATAGACCTATTGATCTTTGGGGTTGTCTTGACAAAATATTCACC